GAGCAATGCGACCATTATGTACTACAAGTGTAATCATGAGAAATACAAATTGAAAAGAAAGCATATGCTAAATTTGTTTTCTTAAGGAAGGTGTAAGGAGGGTATTTATAAAGTAATATAGTGGTCTCTTCATGAAAAAAGACATTCCTGAAAGAAATCCCTGCTCTAGTCTCATGTTAAAAGTAGTTGCACTTCTGAAGTGCGTATTTATTTCCTGAATAATCGACCAAATTTCCCTTTCACGTTGCAGCATGCGGCCCACCTGTGAAGAATGTGAACTCATTTGAGCCCCAATTCTGGCTTCTTTCTTCTGTTATTCCCCTGTTTTCTTTGTTTTTGTTTTTCTTTTCTTTGATCTTCATGCAGTCTTCCGTTTTGTATTTTCTTGGAGTTTGCCTTACATCCTATCTCGAACAATTTTGGTGTAAATCAGTAAATGAACCAGACACCTTGAGGTATGTTAGAGCTCCCTCATAGGGTCAGGACAGAGCTACCCTCTGTGGGATTTTACCCTAAAGTCATATGTTGTTTAGCTTCTTCCTCTCCCTGTCCAGCCGTGCCCAGGGAGGAGCAGGTACTTAACGAGTTGCTTGCACAGGAATCTTTGTTGCAGGATGGGCTCCTGCATAGCATCTCCCTCATCTGCTCCCTTCACACGAGCACTGAGTCCCTCTAGTTTGCCTTCTATGCTTCCCTGGGTCCTGTCCAGTTCTTTTCCTTCCTTTCTGTCCCAACCCCAAGCCAGATGTACGATCTCGTTTCCACCAGAAAGCAGCATGCTGGATTCCAATTTCATGGAATACAAATCTGCCCCCACAGGTGGCCAAAAGAGCGCTCCCCCAAATCAAACTCTGATCGTGTCATTTCTTCGCTCAGAATTCTTCAGGGTTATCTCAGGGTCCTTAAGATAAAGCCTAAACCTTGAACTACACTCCCAAGATCCTCCTTCATGGGCACCCTTTTTCCATCTTCTGCTCCTCCTGATTCTCTTCTCTCTGAACCAACCAACCTCTTTCACAACCTGACCCTGGGCAAGCTGTTCACCTCTGCCAAACACCTTCGCCTCCATGCAACTCTCTGCATGTGCTTGGAGAAGCCATTCACTTCAAAAGTATTTCCTGAAGTCCTGCCAGGTACCAGCCTTGAGACTGGCTCTGAAGAGTGTGGCTAAGCCGACATTCTTAGTGAGGCCACTTTCCCAGAGGCCCTCAGGCCACCCACACTCAGTTGTGCCCCACAGGGCTGCCTTGAGTGCCCATGGCACCCATCCTGGCCACCAGATTCTGCGCTACCTGCCTGCCAGATGTGTCCCTCTCAGTCCAAAGCTCCGAGAGGTGTGGGTCTGCTTGTTCCCTGCGGTACCCACCAGATCACAGCAGAAAAGCTGCCTGAGGGTAGGAGCTCAATATACAGTTTCTAGGCCATGCACTGCGGCACATGCTTATAATCCCAGCACTCTAAGAGGCTGAGGCAGGGGGATCGATCACAAGTTCGAGCCCAGCCTGGTCAACTTAGGGAAACTCTATCTCAAAATAAAAAAATAAAAAGCGCTGGGAAGGTAGCTCAGTCATAGAGTGTTTTAGCACTCAATTCCAAACACTGCAGTAAACAAATAAACAATTCCTAAATGAAAAAAATGTGTCCCATTTTTGCACTCCAGCCTCATTTCTTGGAGACTCAGGTGTGTGGAGAAGCGGCAGGACAGCCTCACCAGCCCTCTTTCTTAAACCACCCATTACAGACAGTCTGGGTTCAGAAACACCCCAAAAGGCCTTTGTCAGAAGATCTCTTTTGCCCACTCATTTTCCTAGCCCTGTTGGTTGAGAGGAAATCTGATCCAGATGTTTCGGATTCATTTACATTAAACTCATCACCATGTGACACTCTAACAACATTTGATGGCCATGAAGTCCTTTTCCACAAACCATGGTTGCCTTTTGCCAGCTATAAATGAGCGCAGGACCCTCGTTTGCATCTGGGTCCAAATTTAGACTCAGCGAGCACTGCAGGAGTGTGAAGTTTGGCAACTCTGCCTTCTCCTCTCGCAGCTGAGGCAGGGATGGGATTTTATGGACCTTGGAATGTAGATTTCCCAACGATTCATCACAGTGGGATGGTTTAGTCCACCACAAGGACAATGGAACTGAACTCTTGTCTTGGTGACTGCTTCTGCCCATTTTAAAATGAAACAAGAAACAGAAGAGAGAGGAAGAGAGGAGATTTGGAAGAGTTGGCAAACACATATATGCACATGCGCAAATACACACACATCCAAAAATGTAACTCAAGATTCACTAATAGCTCCAGGGAATTTAAATGTGCTAATTCCCTTGTCAGGCAGAGCCAAGCCTTCCTAACACCCTGTGCTTTTTTCTATCTGTCCGCCCCTCCCTCTCTGACATAAGGGTATTTTTTTTTTTATTTGCACTAAAGATGACTCCTCATTCCACTGAATTAATTCAACACTGCAAAACTAACTCCAAGAGATCGGCAAGGATATCTCATGGCTTGGAAAATGTGTGTACAAGGGTGGTTCTCTGACACAACTGGGAAATGTTACCTCAGTACGGTGAGTTGCTCCCTCCCCTGGTCCCTCCACTCTGCCTTTGTGCTGAGGATGTTGCCATGTATCTGTTTAAAACAGGCCATTCTCAGCAATAAACTGGTGAGAGTCAAGGTCAGGAGTTGTGTCATTTACCCTTAGTATGCGGCACTTTCTCATGAAAAGTCTGATGAATGAATGAATGTATGAATACCTGTACATCGAGCAGAACTTTCAAATTACTATATCACTATCTAGATATAGATGGATAAATCAATATAAATAGATAGATAGACATAGAATGAAGAGAGAATATGGGAAGTAAAGGAAATCTGTTTCCTGAAAGTCTTAGGAATGAAACTAGAGAATTTTAAATAACTCTAGTAAATACCAGCAATACATAGATTTGGTCATGCTATACATTGGTCTTTGTATTTTCTGTTTCCATTTTTATAGGCTTTTTAGGGTAGCAAATCCCTCAGAGCTAACATTTGTCTGCCTTCTGACAATGCCATCATTATAACCTCTCTGCAACAGAAAGTTCCAGGCCTTCCGCAATATTGGAAACATTCCACGATTCCTTCAGTGACGTAGGACTGCTCCCTCCTTGCTGAGATCCAAAGTGAATGACGTCTATATACAGAGGGAGAAAAGAGATCATCATTTTTAAAGCACATGCTTTTTGCTAGTGGATTTCTTAAGTCACCCTGAAAGCCACACGCTTGCTAGACCGCAACAGGGCTCCAGGGCAGAAGCACAGGCCTCTGTCTGAGAAAGAGGCAGGGATGATGTCATCCTCAGCTGTCAAGGACCGTGGGGATTACGAAACTTGAAGTGGGATTTGGAAGTCTCTGGTGCTGTGAATATAGGGGCAGCTGGCGACCTCTTCACCTGGGCAGAAACACCCTGCTCCTCCCCTCCTGCTGCAGTAACTACCTTCTTGGCTCGGACTGTGACAGGTTAGTTTGGGTCACTTTTTCCACTCTAAGTTTCAAGAGGTTTTACTGTTGATCTTAACATTTTTTCCACTTTTATTCAAATCTTTTTGACATGATTTCATGTCATGAACAATCTTAAGTGTGGAGGGATACAAAATGAATGGTGCACTTGGCAACTGCGGAGCTACAATGGAGAAGCAATTAAGGAGGCGGGGAGTGGGCTGCAGTCACTTAGGAACCCTTCAGCCCTCGGAGGGCTGCACAGCTGTGTTTGGATTTCCTACTGACATGTGACCACAGACTAACAAGCCTGCTGCGCAGGACACATCATCATGATGGACCCTCCTTCCGGAGTGTCCAGCATGTGCAGGGCATCCTATTGGGTGTTGTGCATAATTTTAAGAATAAATGTAGCTTTGTTGCCACAATCTAGTAAACTCTGTGCAAGAACACACAGTGGTTTTGTTTTGTTTTATTTTGTTTTGGTTTTGGTTTTTTTCCGTACCGGGAATCGAACTCAGGACCTCATGCTTGCCAGGCAGGTGCTGTGCTGCTGAGCTAAATCCCCAGCCCCTACACACTGGTTTTGTACGGCGTTGGCTTGGCTAAACTAGAACTGCCTTCCTCAGAATATCCTTCACTGTTTGGTTCTGGGATTGAGATGATCACCCGAGGAGCCTGTGGAACAGACGATGCCGCGCGTCTGTGCTCTGGAGGCCGGTGCAGCCATGGGTGTGTGGCGCTGCTCCCCGTGCTGCTGCTCTTCTGGCTCACCCAGCACCACACCCACAGCTTTCCCAGCAACTCCTTCAGCTTCTCCAGTTCCTGGCTACCAGTCAGTGCCTCTCTCCTGAGCAAAGCACACCAGCTTCTTCAGCAGGGTGCCGGTATTAGGGCTGGAATCGCTGAAAGACTTGGAGTGGATTCCAGTTTGTCTGCATGGGTTCCAGGTGCTCGGAGGGTTCTAGTCTGCCTTTGCCCTTGTTTGTGTTCAGCTTCCTTTCCCAACTGCTGACACAACACAATGCGAGGTGCAAAGACAAAAGCACCGCATTGATTCCTCCTCCCACTTGCACAATTGCGTGTGGTCTGACCCCTGCACCACAGGCCTCATTCCACTGCACTCCCGATGCTTCTGCTTTTCTAACCAACCCTGAATGATACAGAGGACTCACATGTTAAGGGTTCTTGGCATAGGCATTAGTCCATTACCTATTGCTATAACAAAACACGTGAAGTTGGGTATTTTATAAAGAAAAGAGGCCAATTTAGCTCACAGTGTAGAAAGCTAAACCCCAAGATCAGGTGGGACTATTGGGGGGAACCTTCATCTGGATGGCGCTCAGTGGCAACATTCACGATATTTTTTTATTATACCTTGTAAAGACACTCATGAAAGAGGACTTCCAGAACCGCCTTAGAACGAGACAAAGACAATGAGATCAGTGTGTTTGAACTGAGGGGGAATGTTTTGAGGGGGATGAACATCAATATATCTTTTACTGTAATAAATTTTTAAAAATTTGAACATTCACTCTATATTTTGATCAAACTGCATGTCAGGTAGAATGTCCATTGGTGGAAGAGTAAGGAGTCTCTTATATGTACAGCGGTTGCTTCCTATCATGACATGTTTAGTTGATGGAGGTACTTTTATCATTTCTTTTAATCTTTGGGTTTTCTTACTTTTTTCTTTTCATACTGTTTTCCATTACATTCTCAGAGTTCTCCCATGCCACCCTTTCTGCTGACTTTCCCCCCAAAAAAACTCCATTTTGGATTCTTCCTTTCTCCTGCAGCAGTTGGGGTTTGCCTCTAGGCCTTCTAGCCTGCTCTGTAGATCTGCTCCTGCTCTGCTGGGTCAGAATTGTTAGTTTACATCGCTTGATCCCCTTTCCTTCTGAGAATGACCTATCTCTCTACTTCCTATGATCTATCTTTCATTTTGCTCTTTATTTTTACTCTGGATTTCTCACATAAGAAAACTATGTGATATTTAAACTCATGTGTCTGATTTATTTCACTTAACGTTATGGTCTCAAGGTACATCCATGTAGGGAGGTGGAAGGGAGAAAAGGGATGAAGGATGAAAAGAAAGGAATTGGGATGTATTACGAACCTGTACCAACTTCACACAAGGAGCATAAACTGCAAACAAGTACAAAAAAAAAGGAAGGGGATCAAGAGATGAGTGGAAGGGGAAGGAAGGAAGGAAGGAAGGAAGGCGTAGGAGCTGCAAAAAGGAACTAAGATTGTTAGGTACAGTTTCCCCCAAGGCATGTAACCATTATGTACTACACACATGTACTAATAAACTAAAATAAAAAATAAACAAGTATCATAATATATTTTTTTAAAAAAGGAATTGTTAGTTTACAGATTGCATATGTTTTCCCTTCTTATTTTATTCCCCCTTTTTGCTGAAGCACATCCTTAAGTGACCTCATAGAATGAGACATGAAAGATAGACTTCCAAATTCCTCATTGTTGTGCATGCCTGATAGCTTAGTTGCACATAGAACTCTGTGTAGTTGTTAAGGTGTGGGGGCCTCCACAGGTCCGAATGAAAAAATGAATCAGATCTACATGAGAAGAGCGGGTTTGCCCCCAGGTGGCCAGTTCAACCATTTTGGAGCAAACCTGGCAGGTTATTTCACTCCAAGTAAGCCAGGCATCTGTGCTTTGTGCACAGGGCTTTGGGAAACCCCAGGGTGTGCCAGCAGAAGCTGTCTAGTGGTGACTCCTGGTTATCACCTTGACAACTGGTCACCCCTGTCATTTCTGAGCACAGAGTGCCCTGGTGGTTTTGCAAGGTAGCCTAGCCCCCGTCACCTCTGCAGCCCCCCAGGAAGGATACACGGGCTCTCAATTGTCTCTGCCCGTTTCATTCATAGAGTTCTCCTATCCACTTTCCATCACGCAGACATCTGCTGACATTTTCCATCCCTGGTGTGCTTCCTGCTCTTTCCTTTTCATGGTTGTATGTTTTTACATTGCCATGTATTAGCTGTGTGGCCAGGGGAAGCTTGTTAACCATTATGTACCTAGTTTTCTCATGCACAAGGTACAAAACAATGACACCTACCTAGCTATGGTCAGTACGACGATTAAAAGAGTTAATATAGGTAAGACATTAGATTTGCATTCAGTGTGTGGTCAGCTATATACTGCAAGTTAGTTATCATTACAAATATGTGGTAGGGTCTTGAGAGTAGTGAAAAACAGGATCCCAGGCCACCGTATTGAGACAGTTTGCAAGAGCCATGGTCTCAAATGTAGGAAACCCATGGAATGAGATTGTCTGATGCACATATACATGCCTGACACATCTTTAGCTCAGGGCCTCTAAGGCAATGCTTCTTAAACTTTAATGTCCATCCTAATTACCCAGGACTTTTATTAAAATGCAGATTCTGATTTAGTCAGAAATGAGCTCCATACTCTGCATTTCTAGTAAGCTCTCCCATGATGTTGATAACGTTAGCAGTGAATGTGTTTGTGTGTGTATGCGTGTGTGCATATTGCATGCGTGTAGCAGATGCCAATGTGAAATACGTTCTTACTGCAGGTGAGAGTTTATAATGTTTGAAAAACACCACCCAGAGAAACATCTTACAGTCTCATGCTGAGCTGTGTCTATGGGAGACTGTCCCCGTGCCAGGTTGGGAGTCAGGACTGATTTTATCCAGGAAGCAGGAGGGCTCCATACTGCTACTGATCACTCTGCAATACAAGTGCTTCACAAATCCTTACAAATCCTTAGTCCTGTTAGTTGAGGTTCCCCACAGGCTTGAGATGGTACCTGGCATTATCTGCATGTCAGTTCTGGTTTTCCCAATACTTCGGGTTTCTGGCTTGGTGCCTGTCTTGTAGACCACCAGGGACTTGACATCCTCACCCCTTCCCTGGGGTATCTGGTTTCACTCTTTAGCTATTGGTGTAGGGTTTCTCTTCCTTGGAAGACAGGGACAGCTGAGAATGTGGATCTCATCCTGTCTGGGTTTTCCCCTGACAAGTGGCGGTAGTGGCAGGATGTGAGGTGCTTGAAGACCACTCCTGATACTATTATCACAGACAGCAGAGTCAGTGACAGAAGGAACAGGTGCAGGGGCCCTGTGTCACATGTGGGCAGGTGGGAACAGCCAGCAGGGTGGGCATGGGAATCAGGGGTTTTAGAAAAGTCCGCTGAGGGAGACATAAATTGGTGGAGCTCGGTGAGTGGTTTTAAGGCAGTGAAATTAGTCTGTATGACACTGTAATGGTGGACACGTGACTTTATCCATTTGTCAAAATTCATAGAATGCAGAACATCACCGGGAATCCTTTTTTTTTTTTTTTTTTGCAGTACTGGGGATTAACTGGGGGCCTATGCATGGAGCTACATTCCCAGCTACATCCCCATTTAAATAAGTAATTTTTATTTTTTATTTTGAGCCAGAGTCCACAAAATCATTAAGCTTCCCATGCTGTTTTCACATTTGCAATCCTCCTGCCTCAGTCTCCAGAGTCACAGGGATTGCCAGTGTACACCACCAGGCCTGGCTCCAATGGTGAATGCTGATCTCCCCTATGACTTTGGTTCACAACGTTATCAGTATTGGCTCATCAGTTGTAACAAGAGTACCAGTAATGCAAGATGTTAATTACAGGAGCAAGTGAGCAGGGGCGTGTGAGGGTAAGAATAATGCTGACTCTAGATACTTCCAACTCAATTTCCTGTAAACCTAAAATTGCTCAAAAGTAAGCTGTCAGGGTTTTTTAGAAAGTAGAGCTAAAAACTAACTTCACTGGGCTGTTGTGATGATTCAAGCAGATAAAACATGCAAAGCGCCATAAAAGGTTGAAAACAGACCAAATACTAAGTAAATGCCCATATCACCCTCCCCCCAAGCGCATGCGCACACGCACGCGAGAAACACACACACACGCACACACACACAGAGTGGGATGCAAACCTAGATGTTGACTTGCTGAAGTGAAGGAATGGGCACGGTTCTTATTATAAAAAGTAACACCTACACGTGGAAATAATCATTTAATTGGAAAGGCATAAAGTAAAAAGTAAAAAACACTCAATATACCCAACCCAAGCGCACATTTCATAGGTAAGGTGCTTTGACTTGTTTATAATTGTTCTATTCTGACAGTCAGCTCTGTACTTCAAATCACATGCTTGTACTGCTTCCTGGTTTATCCAATTTAAGAAACTATTGACTGCTGCTTTGATAAATAAAAAATTGGGGGCCAGGGATATAACTCAGCGACACAGCACCTGCCTGACAAGCAAGAGGCCCTGAGTTCGATTCTTTGTACCAAAAAAAAATTTTTTTTGACTCATACTCTTCCATTTTTAATTAGTTCACTTTTAATTTTAGTTCTATTAGCTATTTTTATAACTTAAGAATATAGCTTTTTTGATATGGGAATGTTAAATAATATCCCTGC